AAGCTTCCAACCGCTCCTTGTTTTCTTTTCTTTTTTTTTTTTTATTCTGGGCCAGCTTTAGCTCTGAGGCCTCGCTGCTGAAAACATGGATACAATTTTTCGGTCCGGCTGGGTTTCAGTCCGGCTGTTTTCTGGGGTTTTGTTTACCTTCTTATTTGCAACATAGTATATAGTTGCTTAGACTTGCAGATGAGAGGCTGGCAAGTGAGGCAGGGAACGTTGGAGTCTGCAGCAAGCAAGCCTCCTGCTCGCTTCAGTGCCTGGCTGCCGGCCGCCATCTTGGCTGACAGTTAATTTCCATATACTCACTGATTAGCCAATGAAAAGGGTAGCGGTCATACGCTAATTACCATGTTTCTCTTTTATTAGTGTAGATTATCCAAGTCATTCTGAGAAAGAGCACCTTATTTGAGTTAATTCTAAAGAAACAGAGAATTAAAACCTGTTGTGAACCACTCACTGAATATCATAGAAACAGAGGTACAGGTACAGAGAACCTTGAACACAGTGTCTTACCAATTACTGGCTAACATGCTAATGTGACATATTTTCTTATAAAAGACTTTTAAAAAAAACAAGAACAGCCCTAGTCAGTGTGGCTTAGTTAGTGGAGCATCACACCATGCACTGAAAGGCTGCTGGTTCAATTTCCAGTCACGGCACATACCCGAATTGTGGGCTTGGTCCCTAGTAAGGAGCATGCAGGAGACAGCCGATTGATGTTCCACTGTCACATCAATGTTTCTCTTTCTCCTTCCCTCCCTCCCTCTCTAGAAATCAATGAAAAATCTTTTAAAAAAATAAGAGAAAATATATCCTCAGATGAGGATTAAAAACATCCAACAAATTAACCTTCATAATTTACTCCAAGAATCTAAAATAGAACATGCAACTGATCTTAGTAAGGAGAAGCCTTTATTTATGAAAAATTCACTCCAGGAAATAAACAGAATAAGTAATATTAACTTAGTAATTTTCTATGAAAAAAATCTGCAAAATATTCCACCTATAGGCAATCAACTATTTTTCCAATCAACTGAAACTCTTCTTTATGGCCTCTTAGAAAAGAGGTCCTTCCTTTCATGGTACTGACCAAAAATACTCCATTTATGAAGTCTCTAACAAGGTTGCCACTTAACCAAGTCATCAAAAAATGGAATAAAGAAAACCATTTATCACAGAAATATTGTTCCTCCTGCTAGCACTTACCTTGCAAAGCAATCAGAACTTTTCATAGAAATGGAATCAGCAGTAAAGTTTTTGAGGAGATAGCCCTAAATTTGAAAGTCTTTAGAGCAATAAAGAATATCTATGCTTATTAGATTTAGCCCCATCGTATCTCAATCCAGATTTTGTTGGCATTGTAGTTCATGAAGTCTGCTTGTATCAGCCCAAGCAGAAAAACTGAAGCAGAAAATAGAGCATAATGATACAACTTTTATATTGTGTAACTTTATATATTTAATGTCCATAAAAGCATTCTTCAGGTTGCCTTTTTCCTCCAGGTATTTTCATCAGTTGACCTGGGTTTCTAGTTTCACTTGTGATCATTATCCAGTAATCAATATGGTTATAAATCAGGAGTACTCTATATTCACAGACTTCAACTGATTCTACTTAAAACAATGAAATAATCGGGAAAGCAAATGAGAAAATTAATAACCTTTCTAAATACAATCTTCCTGCACTTTAGTAATGACAGGAAGACTGGATTTAGAAATCCTAAAGGTCAGCTTACTACTACTACTAATAGCAGCAGCTAATACTTACAGTACTCGTGCCAAGCACTGCTCTAAGTGCTTTACATAAAATCATTTAATACAACCCTTTGAGGCTGCTACTATTATTATCCCCATTTTACAGAAGGGAATCAGATGTTACAGAGTTTAAGTAACTTGCCCAAAGTCATACAGTGGTACAGCTGGGATTTGAACCCAGATAGTTTCCAAAGCCCATGTTCATAATCATAGTGCCTCTACAAAAAAAATCAGATGTTTATAGTCTATGACAACTTTTCATGCTTTAACTCTGCCTTTAAAAAGGTTTTAGGGGAAGCACAGTGAATACACAGAATAGATAACCAAAAATTTGTTGAATGAGGAATAACACTATTACTGCAAAATTGGCATTATTGCATATTCACATATAAACAAACATTTTCCTCCCATATTTTCCTAAAATCAATTATAAAAAACCTTAATGCTCAGATTACTCATCTTACTTTACACCAAAAATATATTAAGACTAGTGTCCCGGTGCACGGATTCGTGCACACTGAAAGGAAATTAATTAGAAGAAATAGTTTAATATCGCTATTCGCCCTTTCTCTATAATAGAAGTGTCAACCAAATTCACCATCAACAATGACAGATCAACACACACACATGCGATTGGTGCGAGAGCTTTATATGTATCGCGCACGCATGAGTCAACTTAGCCTTGTATATATATAAATATTTATGAAACAACTGCTGGCTTTGTAATATTCTTTCAATTATGCAACATTTCAAACTTAGCTTTATTGAAGTCTGTATAAAATTTGACATTAAAGCAAGCATGGATTTTAAATACCTAAAGGCAAATTTATACAAGATACACACATATAAAACCAGAGTTCACAGTATCTTTACTCCCTCTAGAATCAACTGGAGGTGATTTTGCCCCCCATGGGAGACACTTAGCAAAGTCTGGAGACATTTTTGGTTTTCACAACTGGACATTGGGGAAGTGTGCTACTGGCACCTAGTGGTCAAATGTTCTATAATACACAAGACAGTCCTCTACAATGAAGAATCATTTTGGCCCAAAATGTCAAGCCACATTAATCAAATCCTAACTAAGACCAAGTACATTACCCAACTTTATAGAGCAAGTTCTGACCAGTGAAGAGTCTACAAAAAGACTATTAACAATAATAGAAAATCACTTCCTATTTCCCATCTACTTGACTGAAGAGACACAAAAAGGAAAGGGAAAAGTTAACCCTTTAAATGGTTCAGCACCTTTTCCCTTCCTGAAGTTTCACTTTGAAAACTAAAAATGTTCAACATTTACAAAGATTTGTAAGTAAAGGAAAATGGCAGGCATTCCTAAGTGATATAAAACGTGCCCACCAATCAAACTTCAAATCCTGTTATTCTCATTAAATAATCCCCAACAAGTTGAGGAAAAAATGGTGGTCCTTAAACCCCTGGTTTTTTGCGTGAAACAGAATAAAATGGTTCAAGATCATCGTAATATACTAACATACTTTGAAGAAAATTCTCAAAAAATCTGCTCCTTTGTGTTTCTGTTCAGGATACGTACCCCTCCCCCTGTGCCTTCCCTTCCCATTTGACCTACTCTAGTCAAGGCCCAGGCTCAAATTCAGTTCCATACTAACCTCACTCTTTTCCAACTTTTACACTCTGGCATATCAACAAAACTAAAAGCTTGTTAAAGGGAAAGAAAAGGTTTACACTGAACTACATGTCTTCAGAATTTACAGCATCTAATATGGAACTGATGGTTCCTAGAATCTATTTTCTGGCTATACCTATTACATAGCAGGAATATTTAACTCTCCCCAGGAAAAGAAATGAAAAAACAAGAAAAACTAAAATGTTACCTCCTCTTCACTTTCTTTATCTTCATCCTCTGAAGACTCTTCTTTGTTTTTCTTTTCATCTTCATCACTGCTAGATTCATCTGACAGAATCTCAGGACATTTGGTTTGCTTTGCTTTCCTTGCCATTCCAGAACTGTTCCGTTCCTTTTTGTTGCCTTTGCTAGAAGTTTTTTTAGATTTTGGCAATGGCTGCATAAAATAAAATAAACACCAATGAGGTATTTCCAAGTCAATCAACTATTTCTGAGACCTACTTCTCAACTCAATTCTTGTTTGTCTCAAGGTATATTTCCAAGCTTCGCAGCTTTAGAGAATAATTTATCTTGAACAATGAGTCAAATTAATCTTTTTTTGTCTGAACTACCAATACCTTTTCATTTGTATTCTAAACACCTAGGAAGAGACTCTTCACAAATGTTTAAATATGCATTTTATGTTCTGACATGGGACTAGAAGCCCAAGTACACACCATGTTAAGCTCAAACAGTTATTTACACTTTATCAAGATAATACTTTGAATCAGACTTATAATTTACTAGTATTTCATTCCTATAAACATCAGCTGCTGTCAGAGAAGCTTCCTGTTTTAGGGGACCCTCCAATGAAAGGACTGGGAAGAATCATCCATGAAGTAAATGAAATTTCACTTTATACACCCTGAATTTATGAACTATGTAGTTTATATTCATATTACCTCTGGGCTCTACTTTCAATAATGTCAGGATTATATTCTCACATGATTGTAAATATGTAGTAAGTACTGAATGTGTTAATTGATAAATTAAGAACCACAAAATCAGTGTATTGCTCTTACTTTGATATTCAATTAAAGCACACACATTTAAAATGAAGAGATCATGTGAAGAAAAGTATTATATTAAACAACAAATTTAACTTTTAGTGCTTTCTTAGGGGAGAATTTACTAACTTCTAAAATTGAAAACCATAAATAACCCTGCAAAAGGATCTGAAAAGATAAACTTATTTATCTTTTAAAAATTACTTATTTCTGAAAATTATGGGTATCTTTTGTTTTTATTTTTGCCTGTTATTTTCTGCAATAAACAGAAACATTAAGAAAAATTCCATATAACCTTAAGATACATAATTGTATAAATGTTAGTGATAACTTTAGGCAGTATTTTTTATGAAACTAGCAGACCCTCACAGCTCCCTTCTCTCCCAGGAACTTCCAGTCTTAGGGGTCACTTTCACCTGCACAAAATTTTTTAAAAAGTGGCTACTTATGTAACTTAGTGTTCTCAGGTAATCTACAATGTACAGAATAGCCTCTAACTTGACCAAACAACCTACCCTTCAAAAAGCAGACGGGGAAGCAGCCAATCTAGGTCATTCCAGAATTTTAAGTTAGTGAACCAAATTTATTTGTCAGAGGAGTTCTCTATAAGAAAATTCCTTGAATGAATACAGATATCCTTGTTATGTGAACTCTTACCATTACCAGGAAACAAATCCATTTAAATTCTCTGATTCTTTGTTTGGAGAAAAGATAACTGTCTAAACTCTCACTACTCACTATCTGAAATCCAGGACTCAAGTATAATAGAAAAATATGACAACCCTTACTTCCTCAACTCAGGAATCAGATGCAGGTAGTGAGATTATAATATGTATATGGAATTAGTAATAGGAGGATTGGAATGGGTACTGAATAAACCTATACAGGGAAATGAAAAATTTAACTTGAATGTTAAATCATTCAAGTAACCAATCAAGAAAATGCAACTTCCAAAAATAAGATTTTAATTAAAAAAATAGTAATAATAAATGCTTTAGAACTTTCCTATATTAGTTTTAAAATTAGTTGAATCTATTAATCAAAATCCAGTGTTGCCCTAGCCAGTTTGACTCAGTGGATAGAGTGTGAGGCCCTTTGACTGAAGAGTCATGGGTTCGGTTCCAGTCAAGGGCAAGTACCTTGACTGCAGGCTGGATCCTTGGCCCTAGCTGGGGCACGTTGGGAGGTAACCAATGAGATGTGTCTCTCTCTTTCTCTCTCTCAAAAAAAACAAACAAACAAAAAAAACCCAGTGTCAATGGCATCATCCCTTTTTGTAAACAAAATCTGATTAACAACTAATTAAGGTAGCTATACAAAAGAACAATATTAAGATTATTATAGGAGACAAAATTAGTACTAATGAATTTATAGTGTTTTTCTTAAAAGTGTATGGTAGCATAGAAAACAGCTTAAGATACCATTAGATTGAGCAGTAATCAGAATCAAATAAGAAAAATGAATGTAAGAGTTAGTTTCCATAAGGAAGGATAAAACATAAGGAAGTGCTTCTCAAAAGTGTGGTTCGTAGACCCTGGGGTTTTCTGAGAACTTTTCAGAAGCCTACAGGTCAAAACTATTTTCATAATACCAAGACATTAATTAGCTCTTTCACGGATTATGGAAAAGCCAAGGTAAAACAGCTGTCATCTTAGTACTTACTAATCAAGCAGAGGCAGCAAACTGCTAGTCATATTTCTCATAACCACACACTAGCAGGAGGGAAGAGGTGTTTCATTGAAAAATGTCTCTGATGAAGCAGTAAATATTAATTGTATTTACTCTAAACTTTTTGAGTATATGTTTTTAGAATATCTGTGTAACAAAATGGGAGATACAACAGAGTAACTCTGGCTACAAATTGAAGTTTGCTGGTTTTCTTAAGAAATACACTTGTATATTGAATTGTGACCTAAGCTAGCTACCTTTTTTCATGGACCACCATTTTTAAAAGAATAATTAAAAAGGAGAGACTATAAATAATTGATTTGTTACTAAAATAATAAAAATTGGTCCTCACTTTGCCAGAAGGCTTTGGATGCATTAAGAAATTCAAGATCCTCTTCACCAGTTCACTATTTACACCTGATCTCTCCAAATCAAGAACCTCACAGATGCTTTTTAACATGGCATTTCTAAATCTGAAAAAGAAAATAAAAGAAACCAAGGTGATTATGTAGGAAAGTTTATAAACATCTCCACAATATAAATGCAATAGCTAACCAAACTGGCTAGGCTACAAACATTTAAAAAGTAGCCAACGTTTCTCTAAATCTTAGAAGTACTCCTAATAATCTTTGATTAGTGTACAAACACAACCAGATTAGAGTATTAAAAATTTGAAAACACCATTTACCAATTCTAAATATAGTAAAACAATACCTAAGTTAATTCATTAGAAAATAATGTAAAAAGTTTTCAATACTATAAAATTCATTGACTTGATCATTCTTCTGGCTGCTGATTGTGACTAAATATTACATTTCCCCCTCAGCATTCCTACCATAATGTTTCAAGGAAGGAATAGATAATAAAAGAATTCCTTTTTTATATCTGTTTATTCATTTTCTTCGCTGTGCAACTTGGCATTGGAATTGGTGGCTCTGATGACCAGCTGGGCTGCTTTCCACAATGGCTTTGACGTTCTTTGAGGAGATGCTGTGAGCAATTTCAGCACAATAAGATCTGTTGCACATCAGCAGCACTTCAAGCTCCTTGACATTGTGGACCAAAGACTTCTGAAAGACACTGGGAAGCATGTGCTGTTTTCTTGTTGCTCCCATAACCAATATTGGGCATCAAGATCTGGCCTTTGAATCTTTTGCACATCCTACTGTCAATGCCTCTGGGTTTCCGTCAGTTACACTTAATTTTGACATATTGGTCTGACTGGTGTCGGATGAACTTCTTTTTGATAATCTGGTTTCATGAGAGGTCTGGAGACAGCCAAGGATGCCAAGTAGGAGATGGCTGCCACCTCCATAGGCAATACCGAGGAAGAAGATTAGAGTTCTTAAACTACAGGGAATTTAATAAACAAAAACTCTAATATATCATCTTGCTTGCATTATGGTGAAAGACATTGTTTCTATCAAAGTGATTATCTTCAAAACAACTTAGTACCTACAAGTGGAGGAACAGAGTGGCTGACAGAACAGGAGAGAAAAGTTTTCACTATATTCCCTTTAGACCTTCTGAAATTTCAACTGTGAATGATTTGCCTGTGTATATCGTTCTCCCAAGAAATAAAGACATCTTTGCATTTTCAATAATCTTGATAGCCATTATTTATTGAAAACTAATGAAGGTCCCAAGTTAATGGTTATGTTGACAAGTCAGATCTAGGCATTTAAAGCAAAGAATTAGCAATCTACGTATGGGTGGTCACATTAAATATTTAAAAATAAAATTTAAAGCACATTGATCAGCCCAGCCAGTGTGAGTCAGTGGTTAAGCAGTGACCTATGAATCAGGAGGTTTGATTGCCGGTCAGGGCATATGCCTGGGTTGTGGACTCAGTCCCCAGTGTGAGGAGTGCAGAAGGCAGCTGAGGTCAATGATTCTCTCTAATCCATGATATTTCTCTCTCTCTCTTCCCCTCTCTGAAATCAATAAAGACATATTAAAAAAAACACATTGATCAAAACATGATATTTATAAAAATAACTTACTTTTTCAACATTTCTTCCTTCTTTTTATATTGGGTACTTCCTTTTTCAAATGGAAAGCCACTGAACTGACCCACATTCTTCTTTAATGAGGAAACCTGAAAATGTTTCTTATTATTAATACTACTTATTACCCAGTAATGTACACAAGAAAAAATTCAAGCCAGCATCTTTATTTTCACATCTGTCTCTACGCTACAATACTGGTTTATGCAAAATTTCTTATTCACAATTGAAAACTATACTTATTACTAAAATATTATTATATATATATAT